TGTGTGTGTGTGTGTGTGTGTGTGCGTGTGTGTGTGTTTAGTCTCACGATTTTGCGGCCTCTCCCTTCCTAGCATTCCTGAAGCGCTGTAAATACATCTCTGCAGAGTACCACAGCCCCCCAACGAGCCCAATGATCACACCTAGCGTATTCAGCTTCCCAGGAATCACATCCCCGAATAGGAAAAACCCTAAAAGAGTGGTCGCGATGTCCTTGACCTGGCCGGTCACACTTGTCGTCAGCGGAGAGTTGACAGTAGTACAGCGGAATATTGCCACGTTGAGAAGAAACCCCTGAGACGAAGAGACGAGCAGAAACGCCAAGAACCGCGGCTCCAAGAGCCTCGGAAACGACAAAACTCCCGTTATCTCATCCGATAAGTGCAAGCAAAAGAGCATGATTGGCAGTGAGAGGCAGTTGTTGTAATACATCATTCCCATCTCCGATAGACCGGCCTTATCCTTCAATATCCGAATGAGGATTAGATACGCTGCCGTGGTCAGTACGCACACGAGGACACACAAGTACCCTTTCAAGCTGAATGTCAAGTCTGTGAAGCCGGCGATGGCGGCACCTGCTGTGATGGTGACAATGGAAGAGACAGACGAGACAGATGGTTTCTTTTGAAACACCACCAACTCACCTAGCATAACGACAAGTGTTGTCGATCGCCGCAACACGCTATACATAGGGACATTCAGATATCGAAGAGCGGTGACGCCGCTGACAACGTAGAGCCACCAGCAGACAGTGAGCGGGAAGATCTTCTTCATCGTGCAGAGACGTATCTTGGTCTTCTCCACCATGTTTAACGATTGCAGACAGAAGATGAGAAAAATGGATATAAGAATTTGAATCGTAGTGACAGTTAACGGAAAGTTGAAACGGTACACAGCAAAAACAGCACGATTAAATAAGGTGATGGATATGGAAATCAAGCCATAGAAAATCGCTGCCAAAGCCCTATCCCTGGTGGTGCCATAGCTCAAGGAAACCAGTCCTCCTCCACCTCCTCCGCCTCGTACTAGTCCCGCTCCCCCGCCGAAATCTCCTGCTCCTGCTGCTGCTGCTGCTGCTCCACCAATTCTATGACCGCCAGTCTCTCCTGACATCCCTGATAACCCTGCAGCACCCAGGAAAGGAGAGGACGGCATGAATGCAGACGTGGAGGAGAGAGATGGTGAGGACATCGGGAAGCGACCCAGCTTCGCGGGCACGAATGACGATCCAAGGCTTGACATTGAGAGGCTCGGCGTCGGTAGATCGGCGCTAGACGATCGTACTGCAGTCTGAGCACCCGCACGCGCCACACCAACTGTAGCATCATTCGATGAAGTGCACCCGCCTATCTGGATCACTGTGTCTCCCCTCTCTCCTTGCCCAGATCCAGACAGCTGCAGAGAAGTCCGAATGCCCTGCGCTTGCGCCATAGCCACAAACTCCTCTAATCCCTGTGTCTGTGATGTCGTGAAGGCAGCTGGCAGACGATCAGCAGAAGGTGGAGGATGAGTTGTGGGCGGAGGATCAATACCTTTTTCATGACGAGATTCCGTCTATGGCGGCACAGTGACTATGCGAAGGTGGCGGAAAGCAGATGGCGACGGCGACATTTGCATTTTGAGTACACCGTTACGCATTCATATCAAACGGGATCCATGCCCAGTCTCCAGCAGCCGCTCCCCCCATCAATAGATGGGCGCGCTCTGTTTATAAGAAAAAAGACAAACAAAGAAAAGAAGCAGCAGAGCCATAATGAGTGTGACGTCGCTGTTGGTCGATGGGTAAGGGCACACTCACTGTGGATGCCTTTTACCACAATCATTGCCAGATTCGGTCGGGAAAATCCAGTATGAAAAAAGAGAGAGAACTCTAAAGATGGGCATAGGACACTTGGGAATGCTAATTAGCTTAGAAGCCTTAGATATTGGAGGCCACAAAGGGGAATAAAACTTTTAAGATGGGCCAGCGCGTCTTCGCCTGCGTGAGGAAGGGGTAGGGATGTGAGTGAAATCAATCAGTCCTTGTAATTGGAGAATGAAGCATATGTAAAAAAACAAAAGAGAAAGAAAAAGGGAGTTTAGGTGGAGAGAAACTTAGAAAGGAAAGGGTTAGGGGTATGGAGCTTTAGGCTGGAGGATAGTGTTTACGGAACCGAAGGAACAATGTTCATGTCATTAATTTTTTTTTTGCTTCAGAAAACAAAAATTAAATAAAGTTTAATAAACATGTAAGGAATGCTAAAGTATGATGGTGTTTGCTGTTCAGTACCTGTTTGCATGTCGAGCTATCGGTATTGAGATCCAGGAATGCCAAACGAACAAACGATAAAGTTGAACGCAGACGGTTAGCAAAACACTTTGGAGGTCAGGATGGTGGGGGAATGGATGACGCTTGATCCAGTGCAGAGTGTAAAGAGCATCCACTCAAAAACTGGTGAGTGAGTGAGAGGATTTGTGTAAAGAGCGAGGGCGGGCTTTGGGTTGTTTGAAGGCAACTGGAAACAGAAAATGGACAAACAGAAGGAAGGAAGCATTGTTGAGAAGGTAGAGAATCACTTACGTCGTAAAAAGTTTGTCATAACGACGATAGATCAGGAACAACTTATCTATTGCGAAAGCCCTATTTCATCGAGCAGCTCAGAATATGAAAACACAATAATTTCAACACAACAGTCAGGACAGACCGGTTGTTGAGTAGCTCTGCTCTTGTCCTTTGAACAGTTTAGCCTAGTGCGTTTTCGCGGTTTCTACACATTTTCTGTTCTGCAACTTGGAGTCTGTTGTGCTGCGAAGAATGTCTGTCTGAGTATGCGGTAGAGGAGGACATCAATTGCTCTTGTCAGACTTGGCCAGCTGCTTACTTATACAGGCGGTGGCAGGCGAAGTGATCCACGCAATTACTCATACAGAGCGATGTAAGAAGCGGCAGCATACTTGCAAGCAGACGGACCGGACGAGCGTTCCGTCCGGTCCGCTTTGCCGCGTGCGGCACCCTCCCCCCAGACCGGACCGGACCCGGACCGGCCGGGGCCATTTTTTTTTTTTTGGTGGGGGGGGGGGGTTTGGGGAGTAACTGGTCGGCGGGCGCACATTCGTGCACCGCGCAGGTCCGGTCCGGTGGTCCGCCACATGTGTGGAACCGCCCGGACGGCGTCAGCTTGCAAGTATGAGTGGCAGCCATCTTGTAGTCTTCGAAGGATGTGACGTCATTTTGGCCTCGGCGATAGTAGTCCACCTACAGCACAGCTTCGAGAGCGCTCCATTCACTTGTTGCGTCGTTCTTCACAACAACCACTGCACTTATCTGCTGCATCCTGTCATTCTCATCAACGTTGGACAGCACAAAAATTCTGTTGGGGTGTAGTACAGGAGACGGGCTTCAGCCAGTCCGTGCTTGGTACTGTGAGAGCAGAGGACGGGTTGGCAGTAGGTGGAGGTTCAGGCTGGGGTTGAATTGGTAGGAGAGGAAAAGGCAGTGGAGTTGAAGGCAAGAACAAACGACGTTGCAAATGATGAGGGGCTGTGGGAGGAGAGAAAGTGTTTGTAAGAGTCTTCTGGGCAGGTGTTTTGAACGTGGAGGAGGATGGGTCTGCGTTGGCGGGAGGTGCAGGAGAGTCCAATGGCCTCTTGTGAGTGCACATGCGAATGTACTCGGGAGAGACCCAATTTTTGGCCCATGGGTACATCGCAATTGGGCAATCGGCGCTACATACTCTGACATAGGGATTGTGCACCCCGCGGTCTTCAGGAAGCTGAGCAGCGAGGAACTCAAGTCGTGCATATCTCTAGATTTCGAAGGCAACGTAGTTGTCTTGCATGTATTGGCTATACTTGCAGCAGATGCATTGGATCGCTGGGAAAGGAAATGTGTTGTACTCGCTTTGGATAATGGCCTGTCTTACTGTGTCTGCATCATCAAGATCACCGTTATCTGGAACGAATTTGCTCAGTGCGGATCGGAAAGAAAGCACGCGATATTGCTGGATCAGGCTTTCGCCCATTGTCCAAGATTCCCCACTACTGCCTCCGGTAAGAGTCTGGGGCGTGTCTCAGTCCCAGTGTGGCCGATCATCCAAAAAGAGCCAGCTAAGCATCATCTGCTTGGTCAGCCTTTACCTAACCAACTACCTAATACTTCTGTGTCTTGGACATGGGAAGCAAAAACTCGTCTCTGTCTCTCATCCTTTGGGCCGGGGGAAGATTCCTGCATTCTGATGTGAAGAGGTTCTGGTAGAACCCTCTCGCTATTTATGTACAGGCTGCCGTGGTGGTGGCCCATGGGCCCTGTGGCTGTCCGGGGTCAGTAAGGGCCTCTATGGTGCACTGCCCGATACATGTCCTCGTCTGCGCGAAGAATCTGGCATCCATTGTCCCCTCTACTAGGTGCTTCCTTAATTTCCCTCGGATTCTCATTCCTTGCCATCGATGTTCCATGCATCTTAATAGCTGGTCCTCTAGGCCCCTCATTTCCTGGGCTAGGAGGTCCAGTTGAGACGGATCAACTGAGTTATCTTCCTGTTCTTGTAGGTGCTGTATTTGTTGTTGTACCTCGATTTCATCCGCATGGCGCTGGCCGCCAGCAGTTTGGAATATTCATTGCATTTACGACACACAAAGGCTAGGTCGTTGTTGAACCATACGATATTGTTTCAAATAAGGTCTTTATGATCACGCCAGAAGGAAGTCCTTCAGGTAGGTTTTAAAATGGTCAATCCTTAGTAAGGATGTGTTGGTTGAGCTTATGAAACTCACATACACTGTATATTGAGTCGCAAAAGTTGTAAAATAGGGACACTGGACCCGGTTTCCAGCAGGTGATGCTCCCCACCAAATATAGATGGATTCCGTTATAAGATGAAGATCCCTGATCCATACCACGGTGACAAGGACGGAAGTATTGACACCTACACGTAGGTAGCCGAGATACAAACTTTTATGTTTGTTGTGCGGATTCCATATGACCTACAGGTCATGTTTGCATGTGTAGCATTGGAAGGAGATGCTAAAACATGGGTTATGCAGCAAGTGGCAGAAGGTCGGTTTTGGTGACCTATTAGATCGGTACAGCACTAGCAAGTCACTTCTTGAATTCCTCGACAATCTGAAAGCTAGGTTCGAGAACAAGAATGAGGGAATCAAAACGATGTACCAGATCATGGAGATCCATAGAATTAAGTGGTGCAGCGGAGAAGCCTTGATCCGGCATACGAATAAGCTGATTGGGAGGAAGCAAGGTCATGGGGTCACACCAGTTCAACCGTTGAATCAAACTCACCTTACTATGCCTGAGTCCATTAGTTTAGTGATGACCTATAGGAAATACACGGCACGGTTCCTCTTGCCTCTGAACTTAAAAAGGGAAATACGTTTTAAACCACGACCACCCCCGCCGGCCTAAATGCAGCTTTCCTGCCTTACGGACCAGGTTCTTAGGGGGGGGCGGTGACCCGCAGGCGCAGCCGGGTCCGGTCCAAGGATTTTCAAACGCCAACTTTGGTGATTTTTCGTGCTCAGAAGAATTGAAGAAAAAATCTAAAAATTTGAGATCCTGTAGATTAGATTGCGATCTTTCCAGGAAAAATATCACATATAGACCGTGAAATAAATGCGGCGCCGTTTCATTGCATTTCCATTTTTACCACTCTACCACATGTGGGCCAACGGGAAAATTACCCCAACTTCCTTTATTTTTTGCGCTCAGAAGGATGACTCAACAACTTTGCAAATTGGACCCCCTGTAGATTTGGTCGTGTTCTTTCCACAAAAAATATTAAAGAATTATACCGTGAAATAAATGCCACGCCAATTCGTCCCATATTCCATTTTTGCCGCTCTATCACGTGTTGGCCAACGGGAAAAGTACTCCGGCTTCAGCGATTTTTCACGTCCAAAACAATACTCTAGGAAGTCTGAAAATTGGAGGGTCCGCAGATTTAATCATGATCTTTCTAGGAAAAGTATTTAAAACAAAATGAAAAATCATTTACCGTAAAATAAATCGCAGGGGCAATTCAACGCATTTTCCAATTCTGCCACTCCGCCAGTTCCCCCCACTGTGCTACCGGCAGCCCTCATGGACCTCTGCTACCGGTTCCCCCTAATTTAGGACGGCGGGAGTAGTGGTGGTTAAAGGGGAGAAAGAGGGCCGTTCGTAATGAAGGACTTAGAGACCATATTTATGTAGCCTTCGAAAGATGAAATGCAGAGTTGGTACCACGATGGTGACGGCGACGGTGGACTTACTCAGGGAGGGGACTATGCCACCATTGCAGCAAGTAGGGGGGGGTACAAGGAAGAGGTGGGAGAGGAGGAAGGTTCCAGCCACAAGGGCGAGGTGGTGGATGGCAACAGTCCGCCAGTCGCCTCCAGAAGAAAAAGGAGGCGGCAAGTTTGGACCCCGTGGTACAAGGAGATTCCCACCTAATCCACTGTGTGCGAGGAAGGTCAGCCCTGGAAGCAAATGGACATGTCCGAGTCGCACTGGCGACATCGCCCGGAAAACAACTTGTATTTCAAGTGTGCACAGCCAGGTCACACCGTTCCCTTCTGCCCGCAGTTGAACCAGCCGGGAAGGCCAGTCTCAATCAAAACGGAGTGGCCATTAGATATAACCACCATTTTGACTGGGGCTGCGAGTGTTGGTAGAGAGAACGAGTGCACAGGAGAAAACCCTTCCTACTCGCAGGCCAAGGCAGAGGTTGAGG